GCCCACTGATTTACCATCAATCTTTAGGCAAATTTATTAAACTGCTAAAATACTACATCCTTGTTCTGAACCAAGCAGTTTGCAAAGTAGCTTTGCAAATATTACTGATAATCTACAAAATGATATAACAAATTAGTGTAATTATTTCTCATGTTCCTTTGAGAAAACTGAGGATGAAAGGGTTCAAGTAATTCCCTAGGGTCACATATCTTGTCAAAGGACTGTTTTTGAATCTGGAGAGACTGAACTCCAGTGTCTACCTAATTTAATCTACTACACAGCTTTGAGTGAAAATAAAAAAAAAGTGTGTGGGTGTGTTTCCTCAGGGTGGCAGACCCTGGCCCCTTGATTTGTATATGGAAATGTCATATGTTAGAGCTCCAAAAATTTTCTATAGCAATGGGATAGGAGACACTGATTAATTTGCCATGTTAAAAAAGAACCCTATCCTCTGTCAGATGTGTAGCAATTTACTCTATAAACCAATTAATCTAAAATATCTTAAAATGTTTGAGCAAACTTCTTAGTGAGGGTTTTTTTTTTATAAAAATGTTAAATTTTTTATTCATACAAGTATTTGTGGGTTTTTTTGCATTTTTTTAAATTCAGGATATTATGGGGGTACAAATATTTTGGTTACATGAAATGCATTTGCCTCGTTCACACCAGGACCATAAGCGTGTCCTTCCCCCACACAGTGCACCCCATCTCCATTACCTGTGGGCATGCCCACCCAACCCGAAGGGTTTTTTTTGTTAAATTTTTCTTTCTAAATGTGAGCCATGAGGAAGTGATAATATTGGTACAGCAATGAGTCCAGTAATGTTTTGATTATAATCCCAATTGTTCTACTTTGTCGTATGCTTTTGTGTATGCAACTCATCTATGGTTTTGTTATTCATGAAATGAGGGAAATAACTTCTGCCACACAGAATCATGAAGAAGACTGGATAAGTTAATCTACGCAAAAATCCCTGATAATGGAGACATGCAACTTGAAAGTACCCTAATTTTGACAAAGTGTTTTTTTCAGTAAAAGGTTGTTATTTTTCTTTTAGTCTGACTTTGGGAAAGATATATTATATTGAATACACATTGTATAACTCATAGTTATTATCACTGAATATACGGACACTAGATTTATTGTCTCCCTGCTCCTGTTTCTTTAAAATGGGATCAGATTTCATTTCTGTTGTTGGAATAATCATGCTAATCCATATAAGAATTTGAATCATATTGTTTTTCTTTTAATCTGTAGATTGATTGACCTATGATTGAGTGTAACCATATCATTAAATATTATTTTATTTGAAAAAAAATCTACCCAAAAGTGCTTTGAAGATTTCTTTTTATCTTAAAAGATCTACAGTAGGATGGTTTCCATAGTGGATATCGCCATGCCTAAGAAGTTTGTCCAGCTGCTGGTTTTTAATTTGACTCTGATTGAAATTGTTCTAAGTGGGAATGTGCTAATTTGGCCTACAGATGGTAGCCATTGGTTAAATATTAAGATCATTCTAGAAGAGTTGATTCAAAGAAATCACAATGTGACTGTACTGGCTTCATCAGCAACTCTATTGATCAATTCCAATGTGAAGTCTCCTGTGAATTTTGAAGTGATACCTGTTCTTTTTAAGACAAGCGATATAGATTCCTTGGTAGAACATATGATAATGCTGTGGATAGACCACAGACCAACTCCTCTCACACTGTGGACTTTCTACAAAGAACTAGGAAAACTCGTAGATACTTTTTTTCGAATTAATATACAAATCTGTGATGGCGTATTAAACAACCCCAGGTTAATGGCGAGACTTCAGAAAGGTGGTTTTGATGTGTTGGTAGCAGACCCAGTAACGATCTGTGGTGACCTGGTTGCTCTGAAATTAGGAATTCCATTTATGTATACCTTGAGGTTCTCTCCAGCCTCAACGGTAGAGAGACACTGTGGAAAAATCCCAGCACCAGTCTCCTATGTACCTGCAGCCTTGTCAGAGCTCACTGACCAGATGACCTTTGCTGAAAGGGTTAAAAATACCATATCTTATCCACTGCAAGACTATATATTTCAATCCTACTGGGGAGCATGGAATTCATACTACAGCAAAGTTTTAGGTAAGTCCTTCTAATTTTCTCTTATTAATAACTCCAGATATCGTATTTATTCTTATTGTTCATACAGCGAAAGGTTTCCATCTCATTGCACGTGCCAAGCTGATGTAAATGTACTTATTATATTTCTGTACAATTCCTTGATTATTCTTTTTGAATAAATTCCTAAAAATTGAAATGGTGGGATTAACATATATGGTATTGTTGCTCTTTTTTTTTTCCTTTTTAATTTTTTGAGACAGCATCTTGCTCTGTCACTTGTGCTAGAGTGCAGTGGCATCATCCTAGCTCACTGCAACCTCAAACTACTGAGCTCAAGTGATCCTCCTGCCTCAGTCTCCTGAGTAGCGGGGACTATAGGCATGCACCACCACACCTAGCTAACTTTTTTATTTTTGTAGAGGTGGAGTCTCCCTGTGTTGCCCAGGCTGGTCTTCAACTCCTGGACTCGAGTAATCCTGCTACCTCGGCCTCCCAGAGTGCTAGGATTACAGGCGTGGGCCACCACTCCCGGCCTTGTTGTTTCTTAATGCAAATAATATAGTGCCTTTTAGGTAACAGCTTTTCAATGTATAAATTAATCTTCAAATATAAATGCAAGTACCTTTACCAGGATAAATTATGATACTGCCAAAAAGTACCCTGGCAAACATTTTGAGGTGATACATGACTTATTTTCCCTCCTTTGTTCTTCATTATTTTATTTGCAGATAACTTTAAAAATCATAGAATTGGGCATTAGAAAACCTGAGTTTATGCCTTACCCTGCCTCTCACTATCTCTCTATCCTTAGGCTGCTCTGAGTATTTGGGCTAGCACTGTCTCTCAACTTAATTTCTCTGTATCCTTTGGCAAGCCTCATGTTTCCTGGCCTCAGAGATTACTTCTGAGGTTCAAAAATAATAATGTCAACTGCCAAGGCCAATTCTGATTGGTTGTTTACATTATTTCTCTTTCTTTCCTGAGCTTTCTTTATTTTATTTTATTTTCTTCTCTCCTGAATGCCTTTTTTATCCAGATCTGTCAGTAATAGCTAGGGGCATTAATTAATAGCAGGAATTCACAGATGGTGCCACCAATGGTACTTTTTTACAGAGGTATGTGCAAAATATTGTTCTTTTATACATCTTTTGGCTTGCCTTCCTCCCTCCCTCCTTTCCTTCCTTCCAGTTTTCCCTTCTTTCTTTTCCTTCTTTCATTCATGTCTTCCTTCCTCCCTTACTTCTTCTTTACGTAAAAAAAGTATTTGTTGAACATCAACCAGGTACTTGCCACTTTTCTAGGTACTAGGAATACAACAATGAGCAAAACAGATCAAAATCTCTAGCCCCATGGAGCTTACATTTTAATAAGAGGAGATAGACAGTAAATAAAACAAATATATAAAACGTATAAGATGTTAATGTTCGACTGTGATTCATGCTATGTAGTAAAGTAAGAAGAATAGATAGTTCTGAGAGTGGGGTTGTGCTTTTATACAGAGCAGCCAGAAAAGGTACCAGTTGAAAGGATGGCTGACGTTTGATCAACACTGAGGGAGGTGAGAGTGAGATCCAGTGGGATCCCTGGAGGAAAAGCATTTCAGGCATAGGGAAGAGCAAGTGCAAAGACCTGTGTGTGGCAAGCCATAGATGCAGGAATACCCTTACGCCAACTCGATCTTAACCTTAACTTTCACAAGTAGAATTTATATAATACTTTTTCTTCTCTTGATACTGGAGTACTCTTCATCCAATTTCTGTCGAACTTCTAACCCTCTTCAAAGAACTGGTCTAGAGGGAAGATGTTGAACATATAACATAAATAAAACATGCAAGATAATTAAAGTGAATATTTTTGAAGGGATGGTAATCAGAATTTTATAAGTAAAATCATGTTTTTATGTTTTCTATAATGTAATTTGACTGTATTTCTTTTTTGTGGATTTCAAATTTCATATACCTCAAAAAGACATTTTGCTTTATATTTAGATGTTATTCACATGATTGTGTCCTGAGACATTTGAAATGTGTTCTAAAATTATCCCTGCTTGTATGCATATAACCCATACTGACTATTGCAGGCACTGAATGAGATAACGGTCCATATTTCTTAAGTAGGGAAATTAGGAAGAGATGGTGACGGGTCTTGAAATGCACGTGAGGGTCTAGGTTCAGGTTCCACTTGTTAACTGTGTGCTTTCACACAAGTGACTTGAACTCTTTGAGTTATGGTACTTTCTGCTCTTTAAAATGGGGATTCGATTTCACTGTACTCTTCAGGAGCGTTGTGTGGATATGCCATGTCGATTGTACAGTATTATATTAAATATTATTGACACTGACCTAGTCCAGACGCTGCAATGAGAAAACTCTAATTACACGGCCATGGGGCTCTGTAAATAAGAAGTAGTTGATATACATCTGCGAAAAATAAATGCTCTCTGGTATGTACTAAGTCTTCCTTTTGAAAGGAAGCCATGGCAAATTAGTGTGTGAAAAAGCCCTTGCAAAGCAGAAAATTCCCACCTTTATAGGATTAATAATCTAGTTTCAGAATTCCCACCTTTTGAGAAATTAAATATTGCCTTTACTGAAATCCTTTATGCTTCTCATGTTACTAAGCATATCTGAACAAAAAATAACTACCTTGAATATTTTATCTCACATTGAGGTATACTGTGAAGAAGAGCTGGTAAAATCCAATTTGTCTTTTGTTTGCAATTATATTCCTAAAGTATTAGGAACACCTGGTAAATGTGAACTGATACAAGCACCTTATATTTTACATTATTATGTTTGAATATGGGAGATTTAATAATGTCAAATTTCTGTGGGGTTCCCATTACAATGTTTGTTTTTCAGTTCTGTGTGGGAAAATAGAGTTAGAAAAATGATATGTTGAATTGTGGTAAAGAAAAATCTCAAATGTTTTGAAGGAAATAGAATTATATAGCAAGGACATATTTAACTGCACTGGTTAAAAAGCCTGTTTTCTGTATCAGTGAGGAAACGGTAAATCTTATGGATGCAATAGATAAAAACATCACCATTTTTAGAAACGCTTCCAATAGCTAATGGAACAGGGATGTTAGGGAATATGAAAATCATTGCTACTCCTATCCAGAAGTCAATCTATTAATAAATAGATATAGGCCAAATGCTCTGCATGGCACTTTCAAATTGCTCTGAACTCTCCCTCAACTTCTGAGAGACCTGCTGTATAGCGAGTGCATAGATAATTCTCACTGCAGGATTTGAGACTAACCTTTGCTGCAGCTACAGAAAAGCTAAGGCCTTGAACAGTGTACTAAAAATGGTTAGGCAAGCAAGGCAACTGGATGGCTCCATTTTTGCCTCTGTCTTTCGGGTTCCCAGTCTTTGTCCCTCCTCCAGTGCAGCGCACTGAAAATCAGGAGAACAGAAAGCCCAGTATTAATCTATACAACACTTGGCATTGTAGCCTACTTTTAACCATCAGCATCATGTTGATCCCTCATCCCCTGATGACACCTTTTAGATAGATTCCTACAACTAATGTTACCGCTTCCTAGCCCATGAGAAAAAAGAAAAAGAAAGAAAAAAAATCCTCTTACCATTACCCCTCTATCGAACTTGTCTGGAACTGAGCTAGATTAATCACAACATTTTTTTTT